TCATCTTCAAGGAATTCATGGAAAAGACTCTGACAAGCACAGGTTTCTGGTAACTGGCTATACTGCTGAACTGAATGAATAAGCATTTTCAGAACTCTAATGGAAAACTGATGAATTCATAAAAGTGCTAACAAAAGATCAAGATGAAAAAAATTAATTACACAGGACTGAGTGAACTGATGAGGATGATTATAATTTTTGTGACTTTCTGTTTGAATAAAAAAAAATCCCACAAGGACTCAGAGGCAAAAAAATATACAAATCAATTTTCACTGCAAAGTAAAGGAGCTGTTACAGTGGAGGATTACTGGACTGAATGTCAATATTATGACATAGTGTGAGTGTGTTTCGTGTTTGGTAATTGCAATCGTTGTTGCTTTTGTTGTGGTCATCCATTTACAATGCTTGGTGTCAGTCTATTTATCTCTTGTAAAAATAAAATACAGTGTGTGTGTGTGAAAAAAAAAGATGGATTATGTAAAAACATGCATAAAACTAAAGATTCAAAATGAGACAAGAAAGGTAATTTTCTTTTGTACATATGGTAAAATATTTAGATTTCCTTTCCAGTTAAAACTTATTTCTACAATTTTTAAGATAAGGCTTCTGTTCTGATTTATCAATAGATTGTCCAAGAAGCTCTGGACAAAGCCCGAGAAGGCCGCACCTGCATTGTGATCGCTCACCACCTGTCCACCATTCAGAATGCAGACTTGATAGTGGTGATTGAGAACGGCAAAGTCAGGGAGCACGGCACACATCAGCAGCTGCTAGCACAGAGAGGCATCTACTTCTCCATGGTCAGTGTCCAGGCTGGGACACAGAAGTGATGAACTCTTGTTATAGTGTATCTTAAAAATAAATTCAAATCATTCTACAACTTTTTCTGATTTAGAGACTTCTTTTCTAAGTCATCATAAAATATAGGTATATCTTATTCCATATCAATTTAGAACATCCAATTTGGGGTTGGATATTACAGCATTTGAAATGTAGGAGTTAAAAGTAACATCTGGCTTGATGAAGTATGAAAACAGCCTAGCTCTGAGTTACCAAAAACATATGGAGATAATATCACTCAACCATAAAAAAGAATGAAGTAACGCCATTTGCACCAACATGGATGGACCTACAGATCATCATACTAAAGGAAATAAATCAGAGAAAAATACCACATGATATCACTTATATGTGGAATCTAAAGAAAATATATGATACAAATGAACTAATTTACAAAACAGAAAAAGACTCAGAAAACAAACTTATGGTTAGCAAAAGGGAAAGGGGGGAGGGATAAATTTGGAATTTAAGATCAACAGGTATGCACTACTATATATAAAAATAAACAGCAAGGATCTACTGTATAGCACAGGGAACAATATTCAATATCTTGAAATAACCTATAATGGAAAAGAACCTGAAAAAAATATATATATATATAAAATGGAATCACTTTGCTGTACACCTGAAACACTATAAATCAACCATACTTGAATAAAAAAATTTAAAAATCATATGGAGAAAGTGAAGAGCAGAGTTTAGGTATATAAAACTGTAGAAGATTCAATGCAATCCCTATCAAATTACCCAGGACGTTTTTCACAGAACTAAAATTCATATGAAACCATAAAAGACAAAATTGCCAAAGCAATCCTGAAGAAAAGGAACAACCCATGGGCTTCCCTGGTGGCGCAGTGGTTGAGAGTCTGCCTGCCGATGCAGGGGACGCGGGTTCGTGCCCCGGTCCGGGAAGATGCTGCATGCCGTGGAGCGGCTGGGCCCGTGAGCCATGGCCGCTGGGCCTGCGCGTCCGGAGCGTGTGTTGCGCAACGGGCGAGGCCACAGTGAGAGGCCCGCATACCGCAAAAAAAAAAAAAAAAAAGAACAACCCAGGAGGCATAACCCTCTCAGACTTCAGAGAGTACTACAAAGCTACAGTAATCAAAACAGCATGGAGGAACTTCCCTGGTGGGGCAGTGGTTAAGAATCCACCTGCCAATGCAGGGGACACAGGTTCAAGCCCTGGTCCAGGAAGATCCTACATGCCATAGAGCAACTAAGCCTGTGCACCACAACTACTGAGCCTGCGCTATAGAGCCCACGAGCCACAGCTACTGACCCCGCACGCCTGGAGCCCATACTCCGCAACTAGAGAAGCCACCACAATGAGAAGCCCACGCACCGCAACTAAGAGTAGCCCCCACCTGCCGCAACTAGAGAAAGCCCGCCTGCAGCAATGAAGACCCAACACAGCCAAAAATAAAAATAAATTAATTTTTTTAAAAGTACTTAAATGTAAAGGTTTAAAAACAAAACAGCATGGTATTGGCACAAAAACAGACATACGGATATATGAAACAGGATAGAGAGCCCAGAAATAAACCCACATGCCTATGGTCAATTAATCTTTGACAAAGGAGGCAAGAATATACAATGGGAAAAAGACAGTCTCTTCAGCAAGTGATGCTGGGAAAGCTGAACAGCCACATGTAAATCAATGTAGCTAGAACACATCTTCACACCATACACAAAAATAAACTCAAAATGGCCTAAAGACTTAAACATAAGACATGACACTATAAAACTCCTAGAAGAGATAATTGGCAAAACATTCTCTGACATAACTTGTACCAATGTTTTCTTAGGTCAGTCTCCCAAGGCAATAGAAATAAAAACAAAAATAAATGAATGGGACCCATTCAAACTTACAGGGTTTTGCACAGCAAAGGAAACTATAAACAAAATGAAAAGACAAGCTGCAGAATGGGAGAAAATATTTGCAAACAATGTGACCAACAACCGATTGATTTCCAAAATACACAAACAGCTCATACAACTTAACAAAAAAACCTAATCGAAAAATGGGCAGAAGACCTAAACAGACATTTCTCAAAGACATACAGATGGCCAACAGGTACATGAAAAGATGCTCAACTTCACTAATTATCTGAGAAGTGCAATTCAAAAGGACAATGAGGTATCACCTCACGCTGGTCAGAATGGCCATCATTAAAAAGTCCACAAATAACAAATGCTGGAGAGGGTGTGGAGAAAAGGGAACCCTCTTACACTGTTGGTGGGAATGTAAATTGGTACAGCCACTATGGAGAACAGTATGGAGGTTCCTCAGAAAACTAAAAATAGAGTTCCCATATGATCCAGCAATCCTGCTCCTGGGCATATATCCAGACAAAACTCTAATCCAAAGAGATACATGCACCCTTATGTTCATAGCAGCACTATTCACAATAACCAAGACATGCAAACAACCTAAATGTCCATTGACAAATGAATGGATAAAGAAGATGTGTAACAGATATACAATGGAATACTACTCAACCATAAAAAAGAACAAAATAATGCCATTTGCAGCAACATGGATGCAACTAGATTATCATACTGAGTGAAGTAAGTCAGAAAGAGAAAGACAAATACCATTATGTTATCATTTATATGTGGAACCTAAAATATGACACAAATGAACCTATCCATGAAAAAGAAACATAATCATGCACATAGAGAACAGACTGGTGGTTGCCAAGGCGGAAGGGGGTGGGGGAGGGATGGAGTGGGAGGTTGGGGGTAGCAGATGTGAGCTTTTATATACACAATGGGTAAACAACAAGGTCCTACTATACAGCAGATAGAACTATATTCAATGTCATGTGATAAATCATAATGGAAAAAATATATACAACTGAATCACTTTGCTGTACAGCAGAAATTAACATTGTAAATCAACCACACATCAATTAAAAATTAATTAATTAAATAAAACTGTAGAATTCAAAGAAGCCACAGACATAGGGAAAATTCTTATGGTCCTGATTCATTGGGTAGATGACAGGGTAGTTTGGGAACAATTTTCCTTGTTACAAAGTTAAAATATATTGTTCAATAGCATACTCTCTTCATTGGTAAATTTTCAAGTTATTCTATTAGAGAATTGAGGTTTTAAAAAAAGGAATGTATTCCCAGATTTATCATCACATTCCAAGAGAAAATGGAATTGTCCTTAGACAAACTAACTGTAGGCACACATTTGTTCCATATAAAGAAAGAGGCATATTACTTAAATGTTTAAAACACATTAATAAAAACTACATACTATCTCAGTGCAATTTGAAACATTTCAAAGAAACATCAATAAAATGCTGTTTCTATAGAACTGCATTACTTTTACAAATAGTTTTATTTTCCCAGAAGATTAATCCACTTCAACAAGAAGGAATATGTTTAGATGGAGACCAAAAAGAAATATTCTAGGCAACCCTTGGAAGCTAACCACTCTGAAATGTTTTTTCCTTAATTTACTGCAGCAATACCCATTCTCACTGCTATGACAGGTTGTTTAGGTCAGTAATCTATCCAAATCAGGTCTTCTATATGTAATAAATCATATATACCAAGGAATTTTTCAAATGTAACCATGTGTAGTAGTAGACTGAATTTCAGTTAACCAAGAGAGGAGTGGGGCAAAGGGTACGTTACCACAGTGACTCAAGGTGAGAATTCAACCTACTCTTATGTAATTATTCTCAAACTTGCCTGATAAGGATCATGGGGCATTTGCTCCTAGAAATTCTGACTCAGTAGGTGTGGGTAAGGCCCAGGAATCTTTTTGTAAAAAGCATTCCAGACGATTCTTAACTTCAGGCAGGTTAGAGGAACATGTTAAAAACATGAGTGAAAAGAGGTTTCTCTGCAGGAGGTGATCAGCTTCTAAAATACCCAATTCTTTAGATATTATTTAAAAACAATCAAAGAGGCCTTACAACTTCTACCTTTCACTCTTGGAACATTCTCACTGCCCAGTATGAAGTCCAGGCTAGAATCCTGAATGATCAAAGACCATGCAGAGAGAGGTCCAGCCAGTAAGTCCCTAGACCGTGGTGAGGTTGTCTCAGACTTCCCAGCCTCACCCAGCAGCCTGGTGATGGCAGCGGTGTAACTCACTCAGGCAAGACAGAAGCAGAGCCATCCAAATGGGCACAGTCAACTAACACAGTCACGAGAAATGATCATAAGACAGTAGGTTTTGCATGGTTTATTACACAATACATAACTGATCAGAAAGTACAAGGTCAAACAGGAATGAAGCACTTACTAAAACACTAAACAAGAAGCTATATGATTTTGAGAATTTTATTTTCTGAGAATAGAAACTATAAAACAGAACAAAGGAAAAATAAATCCTGACAATCTGATTTAGTATTTAATCCTTTTAAAGTCACTGATTTTAAATATAAATGCTTTAATTTCATATTCACAAAACTAATTATAACAATATACTATAATAAATTTTTTTAGGGTTTTTCATGTATGTCAGTGGGTCTAAACCTCCTTACTACAACCGAATTCTTTTGTCTGTTCAACATAAACTTTTTTTAGACTAAATTGTAGTGGTCTCTCCCAAACATAGTAGACTTATATCCCTGTGGTGAATGTGGAATCATTGATTTCAGGGAAATTAGCATCCAATCATGTATTTCATATCCTTTGGCAACTAGAAAATGTTAAAGTGCTTGAAAGATAGAGTCTATGAGGATGTTCAGAGAGAAGATTTATTACCTATATAGGTACCAACAAAGATATTTAAACGTTAGATTTGCATTGTTAAAATCTGCAGATTTGCATTGTTGAGGCTAACCTTCAAGTTTGCATAGTTCTATAGTCATAATTTGCATTGCTGCTGCATCAGAGGAAGCTTAAAAATATTTCTACTTTCTATGTCAGAATAAATTTAGAGAGCATAATTCTACTAATTTCTACATTCAACAAGTTTCCTTCAGTCAACATCTCTTCCTGTCTCACATCACCAACCCACTCCCAGCATCCAGTTTTGTTAAGTGCTTACTAAATGATTAGTCTCTAAAGATGAGCAATGTCCATCAGTTGCATCATATCACTGAAAGCACGGAAAGTCTGCTGAACTAGCTTTTCTGCATCAGTCTCTGGACATGATTTCCAGGCTGTACAGGCCACAATAAACCTGTGAAGCACAAATAATAAATGATGAAGTAGAACACAAAAATCAACACAAAAAGGCTCCAAATTGAGATGGTGAATAGAGCCATTACCTTTATTCCATCTGGCTGTTCACATATGAAATATGATTTATTGCTCACATTAGGTAAATGTAACCTGACACAATAGAAAGTATAGTCATATTTATATATAATGCTAGGAACACTTAATTTACTGCGTGACTAGAGCCTAAGGACAAAAAGGAAACAAAAAATTAGCCAGAGCTCAAGAGTGCTCTGGGGTCAGGTCTTACTGTGTTAAACAAACTCACCTCTTCCCATAAAAGACCTTACCAACATGCCCAAATGGAATGAGTTAGAATATGAATTCATGCCACTGTCTGCAATAAAACTTGACCTATTTTTAAAGAAAAATACAGTGCTTGAAGAGAGTAAAAAAATAATAATAAAATAGAGAAAGAAGGATAAGAGGAGAGAAAGGCTGTTTCTAGAAAAACCAGAGAGAAACTCTCCTGAAACCAAAATATGCCTTCCACCACCATATCCTTCTAGATCCTCCTGATGAAGAAATCCCCTATCTGGCAGGTGATAAAAGTGGTCCCAAGAAGCTGAAACAAACAGGAAAGAAGCGTGGCTTCTGGTGGGCTCAGAGCCGAAACCTCACTACTAACACTCTTGGAACTAGCCTTCCCCTTTCCAGACACACAAATTTTCTACAGCAAAACATGCATTATGCTCAAGTTAAAATCAAAATGTTGTGTAATGTAAAGCTTGTGGACGGCATGCAATTTTCACATCACTAAAAATTAAGACTGGAAAGTACGTATCTTTGACATGTACTTTAGATTAAGCAGAACAAAATAAAAACATGTTCTGGTCCAGTATATAATAATGAAACCAATGTTTGAATGGATTATATTTGCTGAAAGATACACAGCAACCTACAGAAATTCCTGCCTTGTTTTCACATAGTGATTCATGATCAGTAGGCATTTTCTCGCTATGTTGTGCATATACTTCTCAAATATTTAGCAAGATCTAAGTATTTCTTTGCAAAGAGTAACGATTTCTATTTATGTGTTAAATTTTTTAAAAATTCAGTTATATTTTTAAATTATAGAAAGAACAATCATTCCTACATGAACAATTCACAAAAGAATATACACAGATGTCAATAAACAAAGAGAAAATGTTTTGCTTCATAAGAATTCAGGTTAGGTTATTTTTCCCTATAAAATTTCTACAGACTGCTTTATAATGTCTAAAGCTGGCAATGATGTGATGAAATATGGAAAGGTATAATACTATCATTATTTGTAATGAGAAAAACTGGAAATAGTATGGAAGTGGTTAAATTATGAAATCCATAAGACTAGACATTCCTCAACCATTAAAATACCTCAAAGGATATTTAATGGCATTGGGAAATGCTTGAAGTAATATTAAGTGAGAGTGCAATTCACAAAAAGGACACTAAAATATTTACAATATGATCTAAATTTGTAATAATTACACACACACAATCTATGTATATTATAGATTAGAAAGATAATGGTCTTATGTCTTATAATGGAAATGTTAACTTTGTTCCTATATTTTTCCATATTTTACAAATTTTTTTACATTGAGCATGCAGTACATTTAAAATAAAATGTTGTACTCCCTCTTGCAAGAGCACTGGAATCACAACTAACTGCTGAACAATCGTCGACAGGAAGACACTGAAACTCACCAAAAAATATACCCCACATCCAAAGACACAGGAGAAGCCACAGTGAGAAGGTAGTAGAGGCACAATCACAATAAAATCAAATCCCAGAACCACTAGGTGGGTGACTCACAAACTGGAGAACAATAATACCAAAGAGGTCCACCCACTGGAGTGAAGGTTCTGAGCCCCATGTCAGGCTTCCCAATCTGGGGGTCCGGCAACGGGAGGAGGAATTCCCAGAGAATCAGACTTGAAGGCTAGTGGTATTTGATTGCAGGACTTTGACAGGACTGGGGGAAAACAGAGGCTCCACTCTTGGAAGGCACACACAAAGTAGTGTGCGCATCGGGACCCAGGGGAAGGAGCAGTGACCCCATAGGAGACTGAACCAGACCTGCCTGCTAGTGCTGGAGGGTCTCCTGAAGAGGCAGGGGTGGCTGTGGCTCAAAGTTCTGGGAAGTACTCCTTGGTGTGAGCCCTCCCAGAGTCCGCCATTAGCCCCACCAAACAGCTGGGTAGGCTCTAGGGCTGGGTTGCCTCAGGCCAAACAACTAACAGGGAGAGAACCGAGCCCCACCCAACAGCTGACAAGCAGATTAAAGTTTTACTGACCTCTCCCCACCGGAGCAACACCCAGCTCTACACACCAGCGTCCCTCCCATCAGGAAGCTTGCACAAGCCTCTTAGATAGCTGCATCCACCAGAGGGCACACAGCAGAAGCAAGAAGAACTACAATTCTGCAGCCTGTGGAATGAAAACCACATTCACAGAAAGACAGACAAAATGAAAAGGCAGAGGACTATGTACCAGATGAAGGAATAAGATAAACCCCCAGAAAAACAGCTAAATGAAGTGGAGATAGGCAACCTTCCAGAAAAGAATTCAGAATAATGACAGTGAAGTTGATCCAGGCCCTCAGAAAAAGAATGGAGGCAAAGATCGAGAAGATGCAGGAAATGTTTAACAAAGACCTAGGAGAACAAAAGAACAAACAGAGATGAACAATACAATAACTGAAATGAAAAATGAAAAGTACACTAGAAGGAATCAACAGCAGAATAACTGAGGCAGAAGAACGGATAATGACCTGGAATACAGAATGGTGGAATTCACTGCTGCGGAACAGAATAAAGAAAAAAGAATGAAAAGAAATGAAGACAGCCTAGGAGAACTCTGGGACAACATTAAACACAACAATTCACATTACAGGGGTCCCAGAAGGAGAAGAGAGAGAGAAAGGAGCCGAGAAAATATGTGAAGAGATTATAGTCGAAAACTTCCCCAACATGGGAAAGGAAATAGCCGCCCAAGTCCAGGACACAGAAGAGTCCCAGGCATGATAAATCCAAGGAGAAACGTGCCAAGACACATGGAATCAAATTGGCAAAAACTAAAGACAAAGAAAAATTATTAAAAGCAACAAGGAAAAAACGACAACATACAAGGGAACTTCCATAAGGTTAACAGTTGACTTCTCAGCAGAAGCTTGACAAGCCAGAAGGGAGTGGCACGATATATTTAAAGTGATGAAAGGGAAGAACCTACAACCAAGATTACTCTACCCAGCAAGGATCTCATTCAGAATCGATGAAGAAATCAAAAGCTTTACAGACAAGCAAAAGCTAAGAGAATTCAGCAACACCAAACCAGCTCTACAACAAATGCTAAAGGAACTTCTCTAAGTGGGAAACAAAAGAGAAGAAAAGAACCTACAAAAACAAACCAAAAACAATTAAGAAAACAGTAATAGGAACACACATATCAATAATTATCTTAAATGTGAATGGATTAAATGCTCCAACCAAAAGACACAGGCTCACTGAATGGATGCAAAAACAAGACCCATATATATGCTGTCTACAAGAGACCCACTTCAGACCTAGGGACACATACAGACTGAAAGTGAGGGGATGGATAAAGATACTCCATGCAAATGGAAATGAAAAGAAAGCTGGAGTAGCAATACTCATATCAGATAAAATAGACTTTAAAGAATGCTGCAAGAGACAAGGAAGGACACTACATAATGATCAAGGGATCAATCCAAGAGGAAAATATAACAATTATAAATATATATACACCTAACATAGGAGCACCTCAGTACATAAGGCAAATGCTAACAGCTATAAAAGAGGAAATCGACAGTAACACAATAGTGGAGGACTTCAACACCTCACTTACACCAATGGATACATCATCCAGACAAAAAATTAAAAAGGAAACACAAGCTTTAAATGACACAATAGACCAGTTAGATTTCATTGATATTTATAGGACATTCCATCCAAAAACAGCAGATTACACTTTCTTCTCGAGTGCACACAGAACATTCTCCAGGATAGATCACATCTTGGGTCACAAATCAAGCCTCGGTAAATTTAAGAAAATTGAAATCATATCAAGCATCTTTTCTGACCACAACGCAATGAGATTAGAAATCAATTACAGGGAAAAACTGTAAAAAACACAAACACGTGGAGGCTAAACAGTACATTACTAAATAACCAAGAGATCACTGAAGACATCAAAGAGGAAATCAAATAAAACCTAGAGATAAATGACAACGAAAACACGATGTCCCAAAACTTATGGGATGCAGCAAAAGCAGTTCTAAGAGGGAAGTTTATAGCAATACAACCCTACCTCAAGAAACAAGAAAGGTCTCAAACAATCTAACCTTACTCCTAAAGGAACTAGAGACAGAAGAACAGACAAAACCCAAAGTTGATAGAAGGAAAGAAATCATAAAGATCAGAGCAGAAATAAATGAAATAGAAACAAAGAAAACAATAGCAAAGATCAATAAAACTAAAAGCTGGTTCTTTGAGAAGATAAAATTGACAAACCTTTAGCCAGATTCATCAAAGAGGAAGATGACTCAAATCAATAATATTAGAAATGAAAAAAGGAGAAGTTACAATGGACACCACAGAAATACAAAGCATCCTAAGAGACTACTACAAGCAACTCTATGCCAATAAAATGGAAAACCTGGAAGAAATGGACAAATTTTTAGAAAAGTATAACCTTACAAGACTGACCAGGAAGAAACAGAAAATATGAACAGACCTATCACAAGTAATGAAATTGAAACTGTGATTAAGAATCCTCCAACGAACAAAAGTCCAGGACCAGATGACTTCACAGGTGAAATCTACCAAGCATTTAGAGAAGAGCTAACACCCATCCTTCTCAAACTCTTCCAAAAAACTGCAGAAGAAGGAACACTCCCAAACTCATTCTACGAGGCCACCATCACCCTGATACCAAAACTAGACAAAGATACTACAAAAAAAGAAAATTACTGACCAATATGACTGATGAATATAGATGCAAAAATCCTCAACAAAATACTAGCAAACACACTCCAACAACACATTAAAAGGATCATGCACCATGATCAAGTGGGATTTATCCCAGGGATGCAAGGATTCTTCAACATACA